ACAACTGTAACAATCAAGATTGTAAAACTATAAGTAGTAGAGCAGAAAAGGAATAAGGGAATGATTCTTTCAGCATTAAACTCTCTCTCTCTCTCCTTCCAAGAATTCAGGAGGTTGGCCCCTCGAAGAGCCCTGAGTTAGGCAGGTTCCTAACATTGATTGTCACTTTGTGAGAGAGAAGGTGCTCAGTGGAGTGATAAGTACTACATATTTAAATACAAGAAGTCAATGGGCAGGCTTGTTCACCCAAGGGTTGAGTCGAGGAATAGTGGATTACATATGTAACAAACAACTAACAAGCTGGGACTATATAACATATGCTCACTAGCTTGAGGGGGAGTGTTAGAGTCAGCTGTAGAGGGTTAATTTGGTCATTTTGTAGGGAAGTCTATCTTCTCTAGTTCGAACCAATCTTTCACTTCTATTTCTTCTCTTTTCTTCTCTTCCATCTATTCGTTCTCTCTTCTCTCTTTTTCTCTGTTATTCTGGAATTAAAACCAGCACTGATCTGAGTTTTTATCTTATTCTTCAAAAAAGCCAGTACAGATCTGAATTTTATCAATACTTATGGAAGCTTTGATAAGCCATGCAGTTAACTGCTTGCAGAACTAATAAGATCTAACAAAGAACTCTATGCTAAAACGGATTTTTGTTTTTTAAATTTGTATTTCATTAATTGTTAAGAAGAGAACTTCTCAAATATATGCTTGGAAGAAATACAAAGTCTTACTATCTTACTACCAATATGCATTATTTGAAGTTTCAGACGATGCCAAATTGAGTACTTTGCTTGCTAGTGACCCTGAGAAGAAAGTCATTCTCTAAAAAGGTAGTGGCTTACTGACACAGGCATTTCTTGAATCGTAAGGTGCCATGTGATAAGCATTTGGGTCATTTTGATTAACTTTTCAGGTCACTTCCCATAGTAAATGTGGGATTTGATGACCTCCTGAGGTGTGTATTCTTGTTGATCATTTTCTCTTTTGCGGTTATATGAATCCACTTCACGTTTGACTTGTTGGTATAGTGTCACAAACTGGCTTCATTGATAAGTTGTCCCTAGAGATATGAACTCTATTATGGATGTTCGTGATAGGATTAGGACATGGAAGGGCCATTTCATATAGCTTCAGATCTATGCCTATCTGGTTTTATTGAAGGCTATCATTTGCATGTCTTTGTAGGTTGTGCACACCTGCCATACAGCATGGAACTAGGGCACTTAGTAATGTGGACTAGATGGTCTTTTTATAAAGAAACGTCACACTACTGGTGCATGCAAAGGCAGATCAAAGCAATGACAAGAGAAGCAGGAATTAGACTTTTTAATGGGTTCACAGATCAGTTAACAGGTTTGCTGATTCCTTTGAAAAGAATGGGGTTTATAGAAATTGGCTTTTTCTTTCGGGGGAGGGGGGTGGTTTCCAATGTTGTACAGATAAGGAAGGGATAAATACAATTATGCCTTTTTGTAAAGAGGAATTAAAATTGGGTTCTTCACAGCCACTTATCCGGGCTGTTCTGGGCAGCTGTACATATTTAATACTAATTTCAATTAATGGAATTTTAGTTATCAATGACAAAAAGATGGTCCTTGTATAATTAATAGTATTTTATGCATGTAAGATGAGTTTGTGCAATTTGCATCAGATGCCTAAGTAGGCAGGATACAAACAAGGCATCACCTCTGCATTAACTTGGTTGCACTAATGCTAAGTTAGATGGGTTTTAATTCCCACTCAATTATTGATTTTCTACTATTTCCAATTTGACAATTTGCAGAGCATGGTCCATGCTACAAGAGATTTTGTTTCATCTGTTTGTTTGAGTTTTCAATTTATTGACTTTTGTTACATTTTCAGATTCCCTGATAGTAGCTGTGAAACCAAAATCTCCTGTTAAACGGAATGATGGGTTTGATGACGATGACGACGATGATGATCTGGTTAGTAACTCAACAACTTTGTACTTTCATTGAACTAATTACACATACCAGTTTAAATGTTTTAATAAATATCTCCCTCTTATATTTTGTGAATTTTCAGAAGTTTCAGATTCCAGAATCATCAAGTTGGTGGAAGAAGAGGCTTTTCTCTTTTCTTCATGACAAATTGAAGTTACCTTGTGAGCATTCACTTAAAATATAGTTTTTGTACTTGAATGTGCTTACCAGATTGCATAACCTTTTCTTTTCATTGATATTTATAGGTATCCTGTTGATGGCAATTTTCTCAATGAGTCAAAAGGCGTGGGTCTTCATCATTCTATGGTTTATTTTGGCACCTATTGCGTATAGATTAGACATAGGACCCCTATATGTGAGTCTATGTATCTTCTCAAAATTTTTCTTTGTTAATAACATGATAAATTTCCTAGTAAATGTTTCTATTTGATACCTAGTTTAGGGTCTTTTGATAGGTTTAAATCCTAATTCTGGACTTCCTTATACATAAACAAGAGATGAAATCATAGGCATGAAAAATTGCATTATCAAAAACCAATTCTGTTTGCAGAAACTTACTTTTAAGTTTACCATATACCTTCAAAGGATTTCTTTTATATGTTTAAAAATACCTCACTTGACAAAGTACTGATGGTTAACCAACTTGTCAGCTTGGTGATAATATTACTGTAGAAATACAGTAGATCAACACTTAATGGTGGTCCCCACAATATTTTTATTGTTTTTATCTATGTTATAACTTTGTTATTTACTGTTATGTAGTGTTTTGTTCTCTGCTATAGGTGGCAGGGGCATTTCTGTCATTGTACTCATTTTTATTCTTTCTCATATAAATAGCATTGAGTGGGGTGGCAGGACTATTCTATTCTGCTCCCTTTTTTTTAATCTTTTTCTTTGTATTCTCTCTTCTCTCTATATTCTGCACTTTTCTTCTCTTTTCTGTCTTCTTTTCAGTGCTGAAATCTAACCTAAACTAGGTTCGGCCATCACTAGGGGTGCTCATGGTTCGGTTAACCGAACTGTGGGCCTATTTTTGGAACTGAACTGGTCCTACTGGCTTCTGGAAAACCGGTAACCAAAACCGAACCAAAGCCGATCAGTTAACTGGTTGACCGGTTTGGTTCGTCGGTTTTTCAGCTTTTTTATATTTATGATATATTATAAAAAATATATAAATATATAATAAATAAATAAATAAATATAATATTATATTTTAAATAATAAACAATATATTATATATTATAAATATATATTTATATATAATGCATATTTATTAATTTATAATATATAGAAAATATAAAATATATATTCTTGGCAATAAATCCGATTGAAAAATGAGGAAGAAGAGAAGAGAAGGGAAGAAGAGAGAAGAGAAGAAGGAAGAAGGAAGAAGAAAAGGTTTGGAGCAATGGAACAGTACTGGCGGCGCCAACTTCTATTATATTATATAGGGCGATAGAAATAAGAAGGGAAAAGACACCTATGCCCCTGTTGTAAGTGAAGTACAATAACAGAAAATAAAAAAGGCTTTAACTAGCCAAATAGACCCTAACATAAATAACTAAATTATTTCAACACTCCCCCTCAAGTTGGAGCATAGATATCAATCATGCCCAACTTGTCACACAAATCATTGTGCCGCACATGATGAAGACCTTTGGTGAAGATATCTGCAAGTTGCTCTTTTGAGTTGACATATGGAGTACACACTTCTCCATTTACAAGTTTCTCT